CTCTCGACGCTATTATACTTACTCTTTACGCTCTTATATTCGTTATTAACGCTCACGCTTACGTACGGCAATCTTAGCGCGTTTCTCCTCCTATTAACGTAGTTTCTCAAGCCTCTAGGTCTCGCGCTCGATAATACATTATGCCTTCTCGTATTCACTCTCTTACCGTAACTCGATATACGTCTATACGTCTACCACTATAATTACGCCTTTAGCGATATATCTCTATAACTAATCTCGAGACTTTCGAGACTCTCGGTAGTTATAGGTACACTATAGATCGCGAACTACGTTCGCACCTAAAATAACGAGCGCCTCGGCGCCTTTAAGGAATAAATTAAGCGAGTCGCGTACGGTAGGCGTTATCTCAGTCTATTTGACTACCTCTTTAAGGGTTTCACAGACAACGTAGAAGAATCGAGGCTTATAAGGAGTAGTAAGAGTAACTATATCGAGCGTAGGCGGAGGAGGAGGAGTAGGAGTACGAGAACCTATACGCCAACTATTATCACTATTATTACTATCATCACGCGCTTCACGCGCCATACGCTCGTTATAGGTCTCGTTATTAGAAGTGTTATAGTCGCAGTAGTCGTCTCTCGATAGGTGCGCAATTCGTATATTCTATTATCGCAGCCACTACTCTTATGCCTTTTAGATCACTTATAACGAATCAAACGGTATAATGCCTATTTTCTTCTAAGCGCTATAGATTATCGATCTCTTAAAAGTCTTATTTCTTATCTCTATAAGATTTAATAGGAAATCTAATTTATCGAACTCCTCGACGCCGTATCGCATCGCTCTATCGATATACTCGCTATACCAGTGTTTGTACGGCTAAAAATAGATAACGTCGAGAGGCTAGCAAAAGTGCGAGATATGCGCAGGAAGTGAAAAAGGTATAATCTTGTGATCCTAATAGTAACTAACGAAGCCGAACTTAAGATACCCTATAAACCCGTCAAGGAGGAGGAGTCGATAGAGGCCTCGCGTTCTGCGCGCAGTTAACCTATTAAAGTGCTTTAGCTACTCGAACGTAAGCTCGACGCTCGAATACCCTATCTCGGACGCGTATAAGAGGATCTCTGAATGAAGATTTAGTAAGATATACTTCTCGAGAATCGTCGCCGCCTATATAATAACCTAGGGTTAAATCACAGTACCGTCACTATAGATATACTTAGTTAACGTTAACGTCTCCCGATTATTAGGGCTAGGTACGAAAAGCCGTACGTATTCGTCTCCTCTAGCGACGATTTTATACGGTTTATCGCAGTCTATTCTAAACCCTATTTGATCGACGTTATATATATTACAGTCTAGAATACCGTATTCGGCTCGTATATCTACTAACTTACGAAACTAGCCTCTTAGGGTTTTAAGATCGTACGCGCGCCTACGCTCGACGGCAAGAGGTCGACCTATCTTTACAGTATATTTAGGATAACGCTAAAGGAACCGATATTGCCACCTATCTCCTAGTCTATAAACTTCAGTACCGATCTCAGTGCGCGACTTATTAAGAATATCCTGCGCAATCGATCTAACCATTCGCGGCTTCGTAGGAATACCGTGTCGATAGAGCCTATTAATTACTTAATAGAGAGCGAGTTCCTACGCGTCCGAGAGCGCTTTGTTATGGCCGCCGTTATTCTCGATATCTCGTACTCCTTTTAGTCGACCCGATAACGTCGTTCTCGGTATATCGAATTCACGCGCGACTTTAGATATCGAGGCGCCAGGATGGGCTAGAACCCATTCTATAGCGTCTTTTACGCGTTGCGAGCGGTCGTCCTCTATCTTTACGGCGTATTCGACAAATTTGCGGCATAAAAAACGCGTTATATTTGTGAAAAATTAAGGATTTCTGGAATATCTACAATATCTACAAAAACGCGACGTACTTGGTGACCTGACGCAGTTGCCGATAGGCACTTGCTCGTAGAGCAAGTGTGGCGCCGCGTAAACGCGGCCGCCAAACTCGGAAGGAGGGGTGGGTCCCCCTGACGAGGTCCTTGGCACGGTTA